TTCTACAGTTGGTCATTCACCTTAGCAAAGTTTTTGTAAGGACGATACTTTCGTAAACTGCCCTTTTTGTGCTCGGATGTTTTCTAACCTTTTTGGACGCCTTTCGATTGGAAACTAAGGCATATAAAATTACCGTGGATCGTGGATACTTAGGGAACAGTACGAAGTGCCTCTTACAGCATGTAAAGACGACTCCTGAAGATCCCACTTGGGCAGGTTATGACGGTGGAGACAGGTTCCGTGTACTTCACATCATCGTGCTAGCCCGACGATAACTTGGAGGGTAGTACCGGAGTGACGGAAGCGTCCTAGGAACTCAAAAGGAATATATTCAATCCCTGATGTCCAATCGAAATGGCGGAGGTGTTATTCGCTGTGCTCACTTCGATGGCTCACGGACAGTCGTAGTTGACGTGGCAGTCCTCTTCTCCACCTCTGACTAAGCCTGTGGTTTCATGTCGCTGTCCTATGTGCTTTAATTGTAGTATTCGCGATAAGAGATGGCTCTCGCAGTGCGGTGGTTATTCGTTTCACTGTTCGAATGGCGGCGGTCCTTCAACTGTCGGCCCATCCTCTTCGAAACCAACGTCTGATCTCTCGGAGCTTTTCCTCCGGCCTAGGTAGCGGTATGCTTGAATACAGTCCTCCTCCTGCGGCAACCGATGCGACACCAGTTGGAGAGGGCAGCCTGAGGCGGCCCCTGAGTGCCGATGTCCCTATGCCTAACAGGTGAGGTGCTGGCCAGGTGAAAATCGGGTGATGGACTTGATGTAGGTTCACCTCGTTCGACAGGGTTAACTCCTTCCATCGGTTCGGCTTGGACAAGGAGCTCCTTGTTAGTCTGCATAGTTCTGGTGCCGTCACACCCACCAGAACGCAGGTACGGTAGTGTTGGTTGACGGTGTGGTCAGCGCTTGGTTGCTCAGGAGGTGTGCATACCCGCTATAATGGAGGGCCAGTCGGTGCTCGTAGTGGCACAGACTGGGTCAGGGAAGACTATGGCTTACGTGTTGCCTATCCTCCATAGACTCCTGAGGTCCAATCCTGACAACCTCTACCCTCTGGAGAACAAGCCCAGAGCGGTCATTCTGGTGCCCACTAGGGAGCTCGCGATACAAGTAGGCGTATTTTGGACGCTTTTCGGGAGAGATCCTATCAGGTGATTAAAGTAGTGCGCCAACTGACAGCACAAGGCTGTAGAGAGGTTACTAGCACTGGTTTGGCTGCTGGGTTAAGCTATGTTAAAGAGGCGAGGGCTCTCAACCAAGGAAGGGTACTGGAGACTGGGGGCTAGAGGGGTCTTGACGGCTCGCTTTTTCTAGGGAGATGTCGTGGTGTGTACTCCTGCGAGGTTGCTCCTGCATCTGATGAAGGGAAATGTGAAGTTGGGCGAAGTGACGCATCTTGTGGTGAGACGCTGCTTTCTTCGATCTCCATCGAGATCATCTGGCCAAGTGGTTCAGTGGTTAAGGCTGTGGTTTTGCAAGCCGAACGCACAGGTTCGTATTCCACAGGTGACGGTTTGTTGCCTGTTAGATAGATGAGGCCGATACCTTGTGTGATACCTTCTATGAGAAGGAGGTTGCCGATGTAATTTCCAAGACATTCAAGGCCCGAGGCGCCGCGAGGTCTGCCCCTCTGGTAGGTGAACGCGGTGCTATGATACACAAGGCTATGCCTCGGTCGTAGGTGGCCTTCGTGGGCGCTACAAGGACAGGAGCGGTCAGTAACTTCGTACGAACCTCCGTCCCGACCCATGTGGTGGTGAACCAAGTCGTTGCTCCCGATGCTCACATGACCGTCCCAGCTCTCGAACAAGTAAGGTTGGCATTAGGACGGTATCGTCCAGTTGGTACACCGTCGAGGTCTTCGTCCCGATGGGGGGCCGTAAGAGAAGTAACGCCTTGGTTGACACACTTGAAGAGCGACAAGTGCGAGGCCAGAAGGTAGGACCCCAGTCTCGGGAGGTGACGCGGTGTGGCCCTCTGGCAGACCCTTATATTTACCAACACTGTAGCACGGTGTAGAGGAGTTGCCAAGATGCTCGAGGCTGAGGGCTATAGTGTCAGCTTACTCCACGGGGAGATGGCCTTCAAGAACCGACGGAAGGAGTTCGCCTCATTCAAGGGTGCCTCAAAGACTGGCACACCAGCGAAGGAAATTATGGTGGTGGTTTCCTTGTGGTCGTTTCTCGAAACAGTAGGTGACTTTAGGTTTGCACCAATCTGGCTAGTCGAGGCTTGGACTTTGACGATGTGGGCCATGTGGTTATGTACGATTTCCCTTACACGCTGGCGGACTACATTCACAGAGTCGGCCGAACGGCAAGAGCAGGTTGGAAAACGATTACGAAGAAGCGGAAGACGTTTTCCCTGCCAGGCCGAGCAGGTCGAGTTACGGTACTGTTTCGGAAGAAAAATCTCCCAGTGGTTCGGAAAATTCAAGAGGCCAGTCGGGCGTCGAGGCCTCTAGATGTCCGATTCGCGTCTAAGAGCATCAATAAAATACTAAAACTAGAGAAGCTGAAGCAGGACCTTGAGGTGGGCAGTTGACAAGATGAGTTTTCTACAGTTACTCACGGGCTCAGACGAAAAAGGTGAAGTTGAAAAAACGTAGTGCTTATGATTGGTATCTTGCCCGTCGCAAGAAGATGGGTTTACCACCAAGGGACAATCTGTGTGGGCCTGCTAAGCGGGCTGTTATACAGGAATGGCGAAAGCGGTACCGCATGGATAAGAAGGTAGTTCTCTACTGACTGCCAGCTTTTCTATGGAGACCCTTCAGTTGGTGGAATTGGTAAGCCGAGGAAGGTTGAAGAAGGGCGAGGTCTTACCCAAGATGCCCAATCATAACGTAACGCGGAGCGACTCGCAAGTGGGGACAGGGAGCTCACTATGGATTCGCTGGCAAGCCTTTGAGCGTTTAGGAGCAGTCGGTGCTCAAAAGGGACGCGGATACGGGGTCGATGTTGCGTGTTAATGTCCGACGTAGCGAGCGGCTTCTGGTTAAAAAAGGCCTCCTTAAACCAGCTGATGATGAGGAAGGTCATGTTGAGATCAGAGATGTCCAAGTTGGTGAGAACCTAATGACGTATTTGAAGGCGGCAGTTGTTGTGCTCAGGTGATGGTATCGTATTACCCAAGAAGGAACGGACAAAGCGAGAGAATCGTATGGTGTTCTGAGGACTTGCATGCTCACAATGTTTCCGAGATTGCACAACATTTCGTTGGGTTATGAAAGTCTCTATCACGCCACTAGATGGTCGTATACGAACGTGAAATCCAGCAGTAGCCTCTTCTGGGGCTAATGAATATCTCGACACCCCTTTTTCGAACATCCTGCATATCAACACATACCGTAATATAGGGAGAAAGGTTGTCGTGGGCATGAGGAATATTATCGAGTATTATACACTATTCCCAACAAGGGGTCAGCCGCCGAAAATGAATCTTCTAACACCTTGTTTGAGTCGGACACCAGTGGTGGGCACGAAGGCAGCAGCTCTTGGGGCAGGGGAGGGTCCGTCTAGGAACCCTCCAGCGGGCCGGCCCCGGGAGCTACGGCGCCTTATGAACCTACTACGGCAAAGAGCTGCCAAGACGGGCATATATGTGAAGTACCCGACGGCCTTCTTGAGGTTGAGACCGGAGGAAGTGTCTCGCATTCCCAAAGACACTCGCCTGCCACACTTAGCCGTCGGGGCAGATACGACTGGGTCCTCCCCTAAGACGGTATTCCTGCAAGGAGGTGTTACCTCAGTACCTTGAGCCCTCTTTTGATGCCTTTGTGGTTGGGCAACCGCTACGGGTCTACGATGTGTTGTGTTACCGATCGATCTCCTTCTCCTGCAGTTGTTGTGATCATCGGGTGACTCCTGTTGGGGACGATGGTCTCGTACCATATCTACGATGATCTGCTAACCTAATAGGTGAGGACGGTCCTTACAGGCTCCCCTCCTCTTCCTCCTCCTCCTGGGCCCAGTAGGGTCACTAGGCCGATGAGCCCGCTCCCGATCAAGACCAGCGAACAGCAAACCTCCCAGACTGCTGGCTCTGCGACGACGAGAGATCTTCCCTGAAGACCTATATCATACTAGACTGCGAGCTGAACCTCCGACCTCGCTGAAAGATCCCCCTCAACATTCTCTCGCCCATCTCGTCCTCCCACTGCCGATGCAGCATACCCGCATCACAGTCCGACGCTTCGCTACAATCACTACTTGTTGCTATCAGATCAGATAAGTATCCTGAAATTAAAACTCCTTCATAGGGTACTTCCTATACCCCTACCATCCTCCTCTTCGTCATCTTCATCGCCTCCTGACGA